TTACCAAGTTCAAACTATTCTTTTATATCATCTATAAAATATATTATTATCTATCAAATATTTATATTATTATCTATCAAACTATTCTTTATATTATTATCTTTATATTAAAGTTCAAACTATTCTTTATAATTTATATTATTCTATTTATTACGGTTAAATACGGAAGTGCCTCGGTGCTAAAATGGCGTGAGACATAATAATAACCTCAAATCATATCATTATATGATTCTTATAGGTTATAGGTTGCGTAGGCATAAATAGGCTTCTCTGCGCATGTCGGGCGAAATTGGCCGCAGTCTCGAGTGCGGCGAAAAGTTGTAGTCTGGGTGTTTTTCTAAACTCATTCTAAACGATCTGGGTGAAACGTCCGGTCAAATCGAACGCTTTTAGGTAAAAAATCGTCGTCCGGGCGTTCATTGGTTTATTCTAAATGCATCCATGGGAGCGAGAGAGAAAGAGAGAGAGAGAAAACGCGGCCCCACTAGTAACACTGCTATAGATTCGTCCTGTTCGTTCAGAATGAAAACATCCAAGTGTGTGATGTCACATTACCTGTGGACACCCTTGTCCGGACGAAAAATTTTCATTCTGAACGCACCCCTGTACTACATATGTTGTCAAGGTCATGACTCTGAGTAACCTCCGACAGGTTTTAGCCGTCGCTCGTCCTTCGTTAAAAAGTTATTAACAATCATAGTTTTAAAATTAACATATGATATATAATACATGTGTATGATATATTAAGTAATAGTAGCTATATTAATGATAATATTAAGTCCTTTTATATGTTTATAGTTTTCTAAAACTATTTTATTTATATTTTCCTGTTTCTTATTTTTCTTATAATACGGTTTTAAAAATAAAATCGTTTATAGCCTAAACCGGCATGTCGTCACGTGTCCCATCACGACATATCGCGCATTGCAACATAACCTGCATACTGCGGTCACATGCGCATGCTCTGTGGCCATATACGCATATGTCAGTTTTGGGACCCATTTTGTCTGACGCTCGTTTTCGCTTATTCGATAAAAAAGTTAATTATTGCAAAATTCTTAACAGTATTATAAAAATTGCTATAGAGCATCGATAGAAGACACTTTCCAGTTTACATTTATATGTCCAAAGATTTATTTTCTGCTTTTGTCTAAAAAATATAGTCTAAAAACAAAGTAGTATATCGGTATCGCTGACCTTTCCTATAATTTTTCTTAAAATTTTCATAATTTTTATATAAATTATAGAATTTCTGTATATAATCATGAATTTCTTAGAAAACTTCTTACAATTAGTTACTTTTAGAAAACTTCTTTATTACAAGTAAAAACTAATAAATAAAACTAATTCATAATTGAAATATACGAAAAATTTCGAAAAAAATGTTGATTTTCTAATATTTCTGAAAAAAATTCCAATTAAAATATAATACGATTTGAAAAAATAAAAATTAGAAAGGAAAAAGAAAAGGAAAAATCGGTATTGATAGGAATGAAATAAGAAGAGGTTGCTCGTAAAGGAAGATATGGTTGCGATTAAAATTGCAAAAAAGGGTGAAGAATTAAAAAAAAATCTGAAAGAAGAAGACAACAAAAAGAAGAACCGTAAAATTTTTTACGCAAACATCACGCACACACACACACACACACACACGGGGGGGGGGGGGCAAGGGGGAGCCCGCCCCTCTCCCGCATTCGCCCCGTCGCCGCGTCGGTAGAGGTCTCCCCCAACAGTACAATTATAGCAACAGTACAATCATGGAAGACGTGTGCCTCTTTGCAGCGGAGGGAGGGGGTGAAAGTTACTTCGCATGGAAAGTTTAACGTTTCTGAACAGGGAAAGGTGTAGAATAGTACTTAATATCATGCACGTATAGCAGAAATAATACGTTTATTTTAAAGCTATGATTGTTAATAACTTTTTAACGAAGGACGAGCGACGGCTAAAACTTGTTGGAGGTTGTTGAGTCAGCTTAGTGTGCTTGTCGAGATAATATATGTGCGCTACCGATTTCCCGAAGAGGCCCGAGTACCTCCGAGCTGCGCAGCATGTCAACGACGACCAAAGAAAAATTAGTCTTAAGTCTCGAGTCGACCGTGTAGCACGTTTGGTGCAAGCGTCGCAATTTTTTTTCTTAATAAATATTCAAAGCAAGCATAAAAGCTAGACTCTGTCTCGTTTATTGAAAACTGTTCCTCTATCTAAAGAAATCATCAAGATTTAGCCTTAACAGGCTAAATCTTGATGATTTCTTTATGGGCCCAGGGACGATTACAGTGCGCTGAAAATCTGCTAGACATAGGAACACGAGGCAAAGATCGGTCGGCCATTTTGTGAAAGAAAAGAAGGAAGATGCCGGACGAATTTTCTGTGGGACACGTGCCAAAGTTCGATGGAACAAACTTCCTCGGCTGGAAATTCCAAATGGAAGCGGCTTTGAGAGCTTGCGGTATTTACGAGATCGTAGACGGTACGAACGTAAGACCGGCAGCAGCTGAAGAGGAGCTTATGAAGGCGTGGGTGAAAGACAACGCCAAAGCGATGTACCTCATTTCGAGAGCAATGGAGCACAAGCAACTAGAGAGTCTGTTAGTTTGTGCCACAGGCAAGGAAATGTGGGATACACTCGCGAGAATTCACCAGCAGAATTCAGCAGCGAACAAGCTCGTATTAATGAAACGCTTCCACGAATATCGAATGGGAGCGACGGACTCGGTCGTACAGCACGTAGCGAAGGTTCAGAATATGGCGAGGCAGCTTTTTGATCTCGGAGAAAATATGTCCGATTTGACAGTCATGGCGAAAATCTTGTCGAGTCTAACTTCGAAATTCAGCACTCTTCAGACAGCGTGGGACAGCGTCGATCCTGCTCGACAAACCGTAGAGTACCTGCAAGAACGACTTATCAACGAGGAAAGTCGTTTGGAAGCTGAAAAGGAAGAAATCACGGCGTTTGCAGCGATGCGGATCACCAAGGAGAAGGCTGGCGGTTCGAAGCAAAAAGGAGACTCGAAAGGAAAAAGTGGGGAAAACGCACGGCGCGAGAAGAAAAAGAAAGACGTCGAGTGTTATTGTTGTCAAGAAAAGGGGCATTACGCGCGCGATTGCCCGACGTGAAAACAAAAGAAGGCCGCCAGTGACGAAAGCGAGTCGCGAGGAAGCGTGTTTGTTGTTGAAAGTTCAGGAAGTGTAGCAAACAGTCGAAAATCGAATCGGTACAGTGGAGTGCCTGAGGAGTTCAAAAATCAGTGGTTGCAACTGGATAAGAAAGATATTTGGTACACAGACAGTGGTGCTTCAAGACACATCACGTTTCGGCGCGAATGGTTTATCGAGTTCCGTCCGCAAAAAGGCACAACGGTATCGGTCGGAGACGACGGCGTGTGCGAGGTGTCAGGCGGAGGAACTATAATCATCGAGAGGCTCGTCAACGGCGTGTAACGCGAGGCGCGCATGGAAAATGTGCTCTATGTGCCGAAAGTGCGCAGTAACTTGTTTTCCGTCGGTGTGTGTACTTCAAGAGGCATTGAAGTAAGATTCGCAAGTGACGGCGTAATGTTGATAGAAAAAAATGAAATCGTGGCGACTGGAGTCAAGCAGTCGAACGAACTATTCCGAATGTTTTTTCGCGTCAAAGATGCACAAAATGTGGGCGAAGTGAACGTGACAATGACGAGTTTGAAGGTCTGGCACGAACGCTTAGGACATTTAAATAAACGTGCATTATGTGATCTCGTAAACAAGCAACTCATTAAAGGAGTGAAAGTCGTCAACGAAAAAGACTTACTTTTTCTGTGATGCGTGTCAGTTTGGTAAGGCACACAGGTTACCTTTCAAAACAGCAGACAAGGAAGTGTGCACAAAGCCGGGTGAACTCATACACAGTGACGTATGTGGGCCCATGTCCGAGATGTCTCCGGGAGGTGCGCGTATTTTGTGACTTTTATAGACGATGCTTCCGGGTTCCGGGTACGTATACTTCTTGAAACATAAGTCGGACGTGTTCGAACGACTGAAAGAGTTTGAGAGGCTGATCGCGAACAAATTCGGGAGGCCAATGAAAACATTGCGCTCCGATAACGGCCGGGAGTACGACAACGAGAAGGTTAAGCAGTATTTGTCGTCGCGCGGAATCAAATTCGAGCCGAGTGCGCCGTACACGCCAGAACAGAACGGCAAGTCTGAGCGGGACAACCGAACGATTGTTGAGTGTGCGCGTACGATGCTAAAAGCGAAGAATTTACCGACGTCGTTGTGGGCGGAAGCGGTAAATACGACTGTTTACATTCAAAATCGAGTGTCGTCGTCGGAAAGAAGAAGAACAAAAACACCGTACGAACTCTGGACAGGAGAAAAACCAGATCTAAGCCATGTGAGAGTGTTCGGATCGGAAGCTTTTGTACACGTACCCAAGCAATTCACGAAGAAATTCGACGCGAGGTCGAAGAAGATGTTGCTAGTAGGTTACGAAGGAAGCTCTTCCAACTACAGGTTGTACAACCCTGAGACTAGGACTGTAACAGTGTCGAGAAATGTGGTGTTCAACGAGAGACAAAACAAAGATGAATCGTCCACGGTCAAAAGCGAAAACGAAGACCTGACGTTTTCGATAGGCGGATCCAGTGCAAACGACGAGGAACAAGGACAGGAAGAGATATCGGCGGAACCAGAGGTCAGTAATGAAGAGCTCGAAAATCATGACAGCGTCGAGCCACAGCGATTGCCTGAAGAGCCTTGCCGACTGCGAAACCGCGAGTTAATAAGACGACCAGTGCGATGCGACCAGGAGTACGAGCTTAACCTAGCTCAGTACGATTCTCCTGCTAGTTACGAAGAGGCAATCAGCGGAGAAGACTCTGTAAGATGGACTGAGGCAATCCATGAGGAGCTCAAAGCTCACGAGAAGAATAACACGTGGAACATCGTTCCGAAGGAAGTCGATAAGAAAACAATTGACTCGAAGTGGGTTTTCAAGAAGATGCGAGATACGACTGGACAAGTATATCGTTACAAAGCTCGGTTATGTGCAAGAGGCTTTCTACAAAGAGAAGATATCGACTACACTGAGACGTTCTCACCGGTAGTGAGATACGACTCAATACGTCTGATGTTGGCACTCGTCGCTCAGGAAGACCTTGAACTCGCACAGTTTGACGTAAAAACGGCGTTCCTGTATGGCAGTCTCGACGAAGAGATTCACATGGAGATTCCAAAGGGATTCGACGGAAAGTGTGTAAACAGCACCACCAATGTAGTGTGTTGTCTGAACAAGTCGTTATACGGCTTAAAGCAAGCACCTCGGTGCTGGAACAAGAAGTTCAGTAGCTTCTTGAAAAGATTCGATTTTGCGGAAACTAGTGCGGATAAATGCGTTTATACCGGCTGTTACGATAACGAAATCGTGTATTTCGCGTTGTTTGTGGATGACGGGCTTATCGCGTGCAAATCCGGAGAAGTTATAAAGCGAATAACGGCGTTATTGAGTAACGAGTTCGAAATCACGCAAAGCGATGGAAGCTGTTTCGTAGGTTTACAAATAAATCGCGATAGGGTACGAAAGTCACTGTTTATTCACCAGACCGCGTACATTAAACGAATACTCGACAGATTCGGCATGAACGAGGCGAAGGCGGTGAGTGTTCCAGCGGATCCTCACACAATTTTGCGCCCAGTAGAAGCAAGCGAAAATGTAAGCAGTGTGCCATATCGCGAGGCGGTGGGCTCGCTTATGTTTGTAGCTATTGTGTCGCGACCGGATATCGCGTTCGCGGTAAATAACGCAAGTAAATTCCTTAATAATCACGATGTAAGTCATTGGCGCGCTGTGAAAAGAATTCTCGCCTATCTCGTTGAGACGGTAGAATTAGAGATCGAATATCGAGGCGGCGGAAGCAATTGGAATTTGGTCGGTTTCTCCGATGCGGACTACGCTGGAGATTTGGAAACGAGAAGGTCGACAACCGGCTATTTATTCATTTTTGTTAACGGACCTGTCACATAGTCGTCGCGTCGGCAAAAGATGGTAACACTAAGTACCACGGAGTCCGAGTACCTCGCCGCATCGTCCGCCGCGAAAGAAGCCAAGTGGCTCCGAAGGCTGTTAGAAGATATCGGACATCGATGTAATAGCGCCACTAAGTTGTATGTAGATAACCAGAGTGCTATAAAGTTAGCGAAAAACCCAGAGTTTCATCAGAGGAAACACATCGATATCCAATATCATCATATACGTGAGATGATCGAAAACGCCGAAATTCGAATCGAATATATCGCGTCTGAAATGCAAAAGGCGGATATATTAACGAAAGCTCTGCCGAAAGAGAGCTTTAGACGTCTGCGTGAGAGTATGGGTATACGTGCGTATGCAGACAAGCACTTAAGCGGCGGAAGTGTTGAGTCAGCTTAGTGTGCTTGTCGAGATAATGTATGTACACCAATATGATACATTCCCTTTCCTCTTCTTAAATATATTCTTTCCTTGTTGTTTGCTTCTTTTCCCTCACTTGACTCTCTATTCCAACTACATTACCTCTTTTGACATCACAAAGATAATGATATTCTGGTAATCGTAAAATATCTTACACAGTTTCAATTATATTTTATATTAATTGACTGCGAATAATTTTAATCATGGACTTGTTGCTTCTTTTGTATTTTTGACAAGGTAATAGTACTTTTGTATTTATTTTTTATTGTTTGTAATTTCATTAATTCTTATATTATTTTCATTAGGATCAATTTATACTTATTATATCAACATATGACTATTTTTATACCGAATACTTTGTATCAGAAGAAGATATGCGTTTACTATTCATTTTAATTCTAATAATTTGTAACATCGCAAATGACCCGATCGGAGTTGAAACGTCTGTCAATTTGTAATTTTTAAAGATCTTATTAAAGCGTTTTTTAAATTTTAAGTAATTGAAGTATTTTGATAAATTTACTTGGCTCTTTGCCCTTCTTATATTTGTATTGGTTTATACATATAGAGCCTTTTCATTATTTATTTACCAAAAGTTTTAAAATTGTTATCCTTGTTTTTATTTAGTTCTCTTTTTTTTTGCTTTTTTAAAAAATTTCCCTGACTGAGGCAAAAAAAATCGGTTGAATAAACCAAAAGCAAGTAAATATTTTTCTGTTTTGTTAACACTATAAATACAACTTTTTAATATTAATATAAGACTCTGTAAGTATGGAACAATATAAAGTAAGAACAAAGAGCCAACGATATAAGAAATAGAAATTATTCATTCGGAATGACCCGGTCGAAGTATGTCTTTGTAGTTATATACACATATGTATATATATATATTTAATTTAATTTTAATATTCTGAAATTATGGGAAATGAAAAAGGAGATAGAAACCATTTGTAAATTTTTATATTAATGGATATGTATAATATAAATGTGTAATTTTCATATTGATTAGATTTACTGCTTCAGAAGCAAACTGTGGATTCGCAAATGTAACATTCATCATCAATGCTGAACATGAAGTTTAGATTAACTTCTTTCACTCTTAGGAGACAGATGTTCATTTAGATAATGTTAGAGATATCGCAAATTCCTTGCTCGCCGGAGGAAGTCACTATGTGGTGATCTCGATTTATCGATTCGTATCCCGCGATTGACTCGAGTTTGTGTTACCTGCACTGCTCGCCGCGCTATCGACATTGTTGTCGTTGTTCGCTCATTTCCGTTCGGATCGCCTGTGTATCTGTACATTCTCGCTTTAAAATATATTAGAGCATACGTTCAGCTTAACATCTATATCGTTATTCAATCGTCCTTCCCATACCTCCGTAACAAATAATTTATTGCAGTATCTAGGAGCTTCTAGAACATATCAGACAACCTTAAGTCCTTTCTGACAGACTTTGTGGTATTATGAGCCCGTGTTCTACTTTCATCATCATTAGTATAACTTACAATTTTATGTCTTCTTTAGATTTTCCCATGCCCTCCTTTCAACTGATCATTAGCCAATAGAGAGATATTGCACTAAATTGATAACACAGTCACAATACGTGCTCAAACTGAAAACAAAAAATTCTTTCTCTAAAGGTCTTTTCATTGCGAGCGCAGACATTCCCGTTTTTGATTCTTGCCGTTTGACCAAACGTCGACATTTACTACTTATCCCTCGCTTAACGGCTCGCTACAATTAGGTTTTTAGATTCACAGCTTCTTCTCCATAGAAGAAGATATGCGTTTACTATTCATTTTAATTCTAATAATTTGTAACATCGCAAATGACCCGATCGGAGTTGAAACGTCTGTCAATTTGTAATTTTTAAAGATCTTATTAAAGCGTTTTTTAAATTTTAAGTAATTGAAGTATTTTGATAAATTTACTTGGCTCTTTGCCCTTCTTATATTTGTATTGGTTTATACATATAGAGCCTTTTCATTATTTATTTACCAAAAGTTTTAA